CGTCCCAGCCTGACTAGCCCTCCTCATTCCTGGCTTCCCACACAGCCACTGAAACTGACAAGAGGTTTGGTTTGCGGGCCACGTCAGGGGCCCTGTAAAGCTGCCACGTCTTAGGGCTGGGCTGCCCGGCTTTCCTCTTCCCTTTAGAAAGGAGTTCCAGGCCTGTGGGGTTCAGAAAATTGGTGCCTGCCTGTGAATGTTCCTGGCCGTTGACCAGTAGCTAGACTGTTACAGAGCAGGATTGGGAAAGGCAGAACCAATCTACCACCTAGCTTCTCCATTCAGGCCCAGAGCACCAGGAGACAGTACAGGCCAGAGCAGAGCCTGTACCCCCAAAGACATGGGTACAGATTCTGAAGGAAGGAAGATGAAAGTATCACAGAACCATAACATGAACCGTGGCATTCACATCTTGAGCTTCTGCATTTCTTCATCTTCCTAAATGATGGAGTGACAGGCATGCACCACCGGGCCCAGCTTTACGCAGTGTGGGAGACCTTGTGATTGCTAAGCAACCACTTGACCAAATGATCTAGCATTTCAGAGTGCTTGTCCATATCTACAGCAGGACCCACAGATTTGGTTCCCAACACCCACATCCTGTGTCTTACAACCACTATGACTCTAGCTCTAGGGGATCCAGTACCTCTTTTGACCTCCCAGGGCATCTTTACTCATGTGTACATAATTAAAAATTAAATAAATCTAAAAAAAAAGAGATTATGAACATTTATGGAGTCCTCATGGCGTTCAACAGTGAGCCAAATGCATCTCATGTCACCTGGTTTAATACTCACAAGGACTTCATAACAAGTGAGGGGTACAGTTTACATTTGGGGAAACTGAGGCTGGAGGTTAAGTAACATTCCTCCACTTGTACAGAATTAAGTAGCTCATGCCAGGCTCAAGCCTAGAGCTCTGACTGCAAGCCAGCCCTGATATCACCCTCTTGGACTGTCTTCTGTCTGCCTCAGCCAAAGCAGTCCTAGGGAACCCTGGTTTCTCTACCTACAGATCAAATCAATCCACCACTCAACCAGGCCAGAAGATAAAAGTCCTTTATGGATTGTACAGCACTGAGAGAGCGTTCCCAGCTGCCCAGGGGAGTGTGGGTGAGAGAAGCGAAGAGTTGAAGTCAAAGTGAAGTCGAGTTTCATCCTCCAATGTGTTTGGCCTTGCCCTGATGAGTAGTAGCCTATGTGCCCAGGGGACCAAGGCCTGAATGACAATGAGATCTTTGTGTCCCCTGGCCAATGGGAAGATCTGACTGGAGAAAGATGCAGTAACAAAGCAATGAACTGAGTCGGTCTGGTGTGCCTGGCCTTGTGAGCCTAGCAGTCTTGGCTCTGAGCCAGATACACAGAGTGCGCAGCTATGAAGGCTGTGATACATGATCCTGCCCCTGTATCTGGAGCAGGCTGAGCTGGCACCAGCTCAGTCTGGGCTAGGATATCAAGGCCTCAGGCTTTGTCATCCACATTGTCCCATTGGCCTCATAAGCCTCTATTTCTTAGCCATTCAACAAGAACAGGGCTGGGTTGAACTTCGTAGATTAAGAATTTTGAGGTGGAACCAAAAATAAATAAATAGTTGAGGTGCTGTAACATCGTTTTACATCCTTACAAGATGGAGGCAGGAAAATCAAAACCAAAGAGCTGGAGGCAGATAGTGGTGGGGAGTGAGGCACGTAGAAGGCAGAGGGAAGCAGGGTGGGGATGTAGCTCACTAGACAAGAAGGCATAGCTTGCAGGAAGCACTGGTTTCAGTCCTCAGCATTGCATAAAATAGGCACGGGGAGATGGAAGCCATATTCAGGGAGCTAGAAGGACAGAACTGGAGCAAGACAGAGAGAGCCAGATGGGTGTGGTCCAAGAGCAAGGACCTCAAGACCATGGCTTGTCATTTTGCAAGATGAAAAACAGGTCCAGGGGTTTGGAGAAGTGGCTCCATAGTTAAGAGAGCTTGCTGATTTTGGAGAGGACCCAAGTTTGATTCCCACCACCCATGTTGGGACACTCACAAGCACTGGTAACTCCATCTCTAGGGGAATCTAACACCTTTTTCTGGCCTCTGCAACACACACACACACACACACACACACACACACACAGAGTTCCCATTTTGTAAAGGTCATCAGAAAATCTATGCAAAACAGCTTGGTTCGTTGCTCAGTCCAAAGCATGTCTTAAGACCTGCTATTCAGTTGTCTATTCAAGTTCCCAAATGAAAAAATACATAGTTCAGGCAGGGCTAGGAAAGAGCACAAACTTACTTTGTAGATTAAAGGGTTTTGAGGTGTTATAATGTTATTGGAGACTTAGTGGCAGATGGGGAGCCCAACCTATGCTTTCTTCCCTCCCCGTGAAGCCCTGGGTGAGGCAGGAGGCCCAGCTCTCTACTCTGTTTGTTTTGATCAGGGTCAGCCTTGCTGCAGGACTTCCGCACCTAGGCATGCTTTAATGCTGAATTCAGATCCTCTGGAGCATTCAATCACTTTCTTTTTTATTTCTTATTTGTTTGTGTGTTTGTGGCAGAGGTGTGGTGAGAACACCACAGTGGGTGAGTGGGGGATACAGAACAGCTTGCGGGTGTAGGGTCTTTCCTTCCTCTGTGTGGGCTTTGGGATAGGACTCAGCTTCTCATGCTTGGTGATTGGCATCTTTACCTGTTGAACCACCTGGCTGGCCAATGGGATTCTAGTTCTCTGTCCTCCCAGGCACCTTGAGTAGCGTTCCTACAAACTACACCCCAACCCCTGGCAAACAAGTTTCCTACTCTTGCACTCAAGGCTAACTGGGTCTATCTTTGGTCCAACTTTAGTCTAACCCAAAGTCTATACTAACTATAGTTCTTTTTGTTTAGGTTTACCAAACTGAGACATAAGGCTGCAGTTAATTTTAGTCTCCTCAATGCCCAGAGCTGTAGCAATCAATCCTATGAAAACAGACCACCTGTCCTGTGGGCAGATCAGATGTCTAGGGAGTCTATTGGAACCCTAAACTTGGTGGCCTAAAGCTTCTGGTTGTTGGGTCAAGGAGAGGACTCAGAGGTCTTATATGGGTCCAAACATCTTAGGATTCTTCATAGGCCCTTTGGAGAGAGATAATCTGAAGGAAGCCATAATTCTTCCCTACAGAAAAATGCCTAGGTACTCAGGAGGTCTGAGGGTCTCTGTCCCAGGTTAGAACCCCAAGAAAAGAACATCTTCTGTGTTCTTCAGGTGGAATAGTGGAAGGCCACTCACTGATTAAAAACAAAGCAAAACTAGCTAAAAACCTTCAGACTGAGAGATGCACGAAGGCCCCATTTTCCTGGGCTGCTGTTGTCAAGGGAAGGCAGCAGATGGTGCTAGATGGTGTGGGAGGGAGGGAGGGAGGGAGGGAGGGAGGGAGGGAGGGAGGGAGGGGGGGAGGGAGGGAGATGAAGTTGAGGGTAACCACCTCCTGTGACAGAGGCAAGGAGACATATATGTTGAGTGGACGAGGAGGGTCTATCTAAGGAGGTGACATTAGAATCAAGTTCTGAAGGATGAGAAAGGTCCAAGCTCAAGAAAATCACATGGGAAAGTGTCGGGCAGAGGAAAAGTGAGGATCAAAGAACTGCGGGGCATGGATGACTTTGGGGTACCTGACAGACTGAGAGCAAGCTGCTTTAGCTGGAGAGAGTGAGCCAGGAGGAGTGTGGTAAACGAGGACATGGCAGGAAAGGCAGGGACCCTGGTGTATATAAGCTTATCTCTGGACTGTCCTCTGCCTTCTCCAGTCCCTGTTATCCAAACCCAATGACTGCTTTGATATCTATACTTTCAGGAAGGCATTGCTGGTCTGACCCTCCAGGAGAAGCTTTGGAGTCTGCATCCCTGAGGAGGTGGTTCTGTGCGTGAGGTACATCCCTTTAGCCACACCCAAAGCTCCTGCTTCATCCATTCTGGTACCTCCCCAAGTAGGCAGGCACAAAGTGTTCAGTCAAGAGCACAGATGGAGCAGTCCATGTTCCCAAAAGAACAGGGCTGAAATATAGACTCAGTGTTCTCAGACCACTTCTGGTCAGGTGTTACTGGGCAAGCCGTTTGCTCTGCATGAGCCTGTGCCCTTGTTATTAAAATGGCTGCTTGGGACTTGGCTCAGTGATTAAGAGCACTGATTGCTCTTCCAGAGGTCCTGAGTTCAATTTCCAGCAACCATATGGTGGCTCACAACCATCTGTAATGGGGTCTGATGTCCTCTTCTGGTGTGTCTGACAGTGTACTCATGTAAATAAAATAAATAAATAAAATTTAAAAATAGTTCTAAAATAGTCTCTTAATACTACATAAGTCAGGCTGGAAATGCAGCTTCATTGGTGGCATAGGTAGCGCACACATGTATCCCTAGTTCCCAGGAAGTAGAGGTAGGGAGATCAGAAGTTCAAGGTCATCCTCAGCTACATAGTGAGTGGGCAACCTGGGCTACATTCGACCTCATCCAAAACCAAACAACACCTAAAAGAAAGGCCTGCTGTGCCAACAATGGCTTCCCCACCAACCCTGGTTACTGTTTCTGATCTGACTATCAATAGTATTGCTCTCTGAGTTTGTCAGGTACTGACACGCAAGTCTCCCAGCTCAGTTCTAACCCCTCGCTTATCTATGCTTGGTCCTACTAGAGCTAGAGGGCATGTAGCCTCATTACCAAGGATGATGCCACCAGTATCACCAGTGGCAGCTTGTTTTGTTGGCTGTCTTTGTCACAGCCTCCCCCCCCCCCGCCATGTCAGTGCGCACTCGATCTGCCCTTCTCCACATCACTAAGCCCAAGAGAGTGCTCAGTCAAGTTCACTAGCTGTGTACAAAGTAGGACAAGGTGCTTAGCTGTGCCTCTGAGGCTCTCGGTAATGCCTAGGACTCTTCCGTCCTCAGCCTCTGCTCTGAACAAGGCCTGGCCTGTTCTAGGTGATTCTGGCAACTGACCCAGCCCCAATCCTCATGTCTGTTTAGGCAGGAGCCCCAGAACAGATGAGGCAGGTGGGGCCAGGGTGTCTGGGTAGCACACAGCCTACCACAAGGCAAGGAAGGAAGAAAGAAAGGACAGCTTTGGTTCTGGGGAGAAGGGGAGGCAGGCCAGGGGAAGGAGGAGACAGAGGAGGAGGGCCTTTGAGTGGAGGCGGAGGGTGAGACAGACCCTGCCCAGAGCTCCAAGTGGCTTCCTGCTGCTTGCTTCTAAACCCCTCCACATTCCTGCAGCCCTTCAGACCGCCAGAACTCTTCTGCCGCCTGCCTGACTGCCTGCCTGCCTGCCTGTGCCGAGGTATGCATCTCCCTGTCAGCCCCTGCCCTTCTGTAAGCTTCATCAGCCCCTCTGCCCCATCCCCTTGACTACCCTCAGGGGGAGGGGAGCTGGAAGCCTGTTGCTCACTCACAGGGGAACTTGTTATCTCTGTAGCACTGCAGAAAATATCCATGCTTTGCTGCGACCACTTTCTCTGTGTTCTCTGGTGGCAGAGGCTACTGGTCTGTCCTCTGTCACCCACGGTGGCAGCTGCCTGCCTCCCTTTCTGAGAATCTGATCCTCATTTGCCCATCACAGCTGCCAACCCAGAGAAAGTCTGGCTGGCAGCCTGCTGGGTCTGGCTTCCTATTCTAGGAGAACAGACATCCAGTTCTGGGTCAGAACACTGTTGTCCAAATGGGACTTTGCAAGGAGGATAAGCAGATCTGTAAACAGCCAAGGCAAGGCATTCCCTTTAGTCAGTTCCTCTGGGAAGGCTCAGGTCCCTTGAATCTCTGTCCACCCCCACCCCATCACCCTGTGGCAACAGTCAGCCCAAAATGCCATTGTCTCTCCCAGCCTGAGGTTGCCATTGTTCTCATCCTAATTCTGAGAGATGGTCATCTCGGGCACTCACTAACATTGCTTTTGCTGTATCTAGACATCTAAGAAAGCTGACAATTTGATACAATCCAGAGGGAGGAGGGTGTGATGGGGAGGAGGGAGACAGGGTGATTTAGCTCCAGGACACCTTTCACACCACTACTGAACCTACTCAAGACTCAAACCAGCCTGCTGAAATCTTGTCTGCCCCAAGCTGTTTTGTAAACTTCCTGTGTGTGACATCTAGGATGACTGAAATAAGTCTCCTCTAAAGGGAATAGGCATCAATCATTGTCGTCTGCCTTAGGGACACACAACATACCTGCAGGGGAGGGAGTGTCTCCACAGGCAACTCTTTTAAGTTTCTAGAACCTTCCAAGTGCAGGGAGTGGCATGAGATGCAGAGCGTATATGGGGTGGCAAGCTTTAGGCAGTTTGTGGGCCATCTCACATAGCATCTCCCCTGGGTGTAGCCTTCCTGTCCTAGGGAAGAGGGATAGTTTTGGGGGTAGCTGTATTCCCCTAAGACTTCCCAAGCAAGGTCACTTAGTTGAGTCTATAAAGTGGTCTATGAATAAGCTTCAAAGAGTCTCTGGAAGTAGTGTGAGTATGTGAGTGTGTGTTTATGTCTGTGTGTCTGCGTGTGTGTTTGTGTGAGAGATGATGGGTGTCCACAGCTTTTAGGTTTAAGATATCCCTAAACAGAGGCCAGACCCCCAGAAGAATGGTGCGAGGATGTGACGGGAAGGATAGAAACAAATTTGTATTTGCCAAGGACCAAACCAGAAAGAAGTGGTTGAGGGAAGAGTTAACTCTTGTTAACTCAGCCATCAGCTGCCACATCGACAGAGCCGCACTGGGGGAGGGGGAGGGAGTGGGGGTGGCTGAGAAGGAGTCTGCTTTTGAAACTTTCTCCAAGCCCCACCCACCAAGAGGCTCTTCTCCCTGGTGACTCACTCCGAGAGGAATGCGAGTTGCCACGGCAACCTTTTTTTTCCCCTAGGGTCTCTGCCTACTGGCTGGGAGGGGACTCTGGGAACGCTCAGGGACCTTTAAGTTCCAGTCCTCCAAGCCATTGCTACGGCTGCCGCCACCGCACTCCACTCCCGCCCCGATACAAGGACCACAGCAAACTTCTGCCCTGTCCCCATCTCCCACGTCCCAGGGCCCCCAGGACTGTGATAAGCCTCTCTAGAACTGCCCTTTTCGAGACAGAGGGTTTGAATCTGTGCTTAGAAGATGTCATTTGACCTTGAACTAATCTGTCTTCCTGAGCTCTGGTTTCCTCCCTATTTCGGGTAATAGCAGCAGTCCCCTGGAGAAGGTGCAGGATGAGCCGGACTAAAGCATGTACTGGGAAGCACTTTGCAACCTCACTCCCTTCTAAAGAGACTGATTTTTAGCACAAAGGGGATTATTCAAAGTCCTTTTTCTTCTGGCAGCTCCAACATTTGGGGTCCAGAGAACATTTTCTTAGTGAAAGTGGTGACAGGAGTATTTTTTAAAATGCATTGTTTAAATTAATATTTCAATTTGGGGATCTTCTTGTCAATTTCCCAAGAGCAACGCATCCTCCTCTAAAGAAAGACTGTGATCAAGGCTGGAACCAGGACTCATTTGGAAATGCTTGCTGCATTAGCCTGAGGACCCCAGGTTTTTTCATTACTCTCAACCTGGGGAGTCAGATGCAATGATGCCTGTCTGTAATCCCAATGCTACTAAGGCAGAGACAAGCCAGTCTGCAGAACTCACTGGCCAGCCTGCCTAGCTGAATCATTAGCTTCTGGATAGTGAAAGACTCTGTCTCAAAATACAAAGTAGATGGGCTTAGTGGCACTGCCCCCCACTTTTTTTTTTTTAAGATTTACTTATTTTATGTATGTGAGTTCACTGTAGCTGTCTTCAGACACACCAGAAGAGGGCATCAGATCTCATTATAGATGGTTGTGAGCCACCATGTGGTTGCTGGGAATTGAACTCAGGACCTCTGCAAGAGTAGACGGTACTCTTAACCACTGAGCCATCTCTCCAGCCCGCAAGTAGTGAAAATCTTTTTATTGTGAGAAAGAATAAATCGCAAGTTTACAGCTGCCTGGAGATGCCGGGGATTGAACCTGGGACCTCACACATGCAAAGCGCACTCTCTATCACTGAGCTACATCCTCCAGCCACTTGCCTTTAATCTCAGCACTTAGGAGGGAGAGGCAGGCTGATCTCTGGGAGGTAGAGGCCAGCCTGGTCTATATAAGTGAATTCCAGGCTGCTGAGGGTTTTGTAGGAAGATCCTGTCTCAAAAAAAAAAAAAAAAAAAAAAAGAAAAGGTAAAGAACAGCCAAAGAAGGTGTTGACTTCTGGCTTACACACACACACACACACACACACACACACACACACACTCACATACACCATATATACATCACACACAGAAATGGAAGGAAGAAAGGATGGAAGGAATGGCAGGTATTGGTCAAAAGGATAGGTTACAGCTCAATGATGACATTCGGAAAGATGCTACCTGTCTTAGCCTCAGTTCCCCAAATCTGTCAGGTGGGCATGATCTGAACTAGATGTCCCCAAACCCAGTTCCAGGCACTGGTTTCCTTGGAAGGAGCAGCAGCTTCCTGCACGTTTAATAGCAGCCTCCCTTCTTGCTTTAGGAGAGGAAACAGGAAGAAGGCTGGGGAGGCACTATCCTTATCCAGCTGTGGGCTCTGCAGCACAGCTGGGTTTGCTATTTCCAGATACAGCTTTTCATGTTGAAAATAAGTATTAAACAGCAGAGGAGATGAGGCAAAGTATGTTTGCTTGTTGAAGCCTTTTAGGTTGGCAGATGAGTCTGGGGAGATAAACAGGCAACCATGAACACATGGGGCACAGAGTTTAAATATGTAGATACTGATTTTACCACCAGCCTGGCTAAAAATAAGTGCAGGATGTAGCCACACCTTCATATTCTCCCCCGAGTGATATCCTCACTTACACAATCACATGCACACGTATATGCACACACACTACACAGAGGGAGAGAGATTCTTTAAGAAAAGATATTTTAACAATACATTTTTAAAAAATTTAATCCACATGGTGATGGTACCCACTTTTAATCTCGGCAGAGACAAAAAGATCTCTGTTAGTTTGAGATCAGCCTGGTCTACAGAGAGAGAGTTCCAGCACAACCAGGGCTGCACAGAAAAACAAAAAGGTTTTATTTATGTGAATATATGTATATGTAAGCACAATGCATGTGGGTGCCTTCAGAGGTCAGGATCAAGCATCTAAGTCTCTAGAGCTAGAGTTAACATACATGGCTGTGAGCTGCCCAACACGGCAGCTTAAAACTGAGCATGAGGTCTCTAATAAAGCAGTAAGCACTCTTAAAGGCTGAGTCATTTCTCCAGCTGCTATGTCCTTCCCCCAGGTGCAATTCTTATAAGTATGAAAACTCCAATCCTCACCTAGTAACAGATGTTATGTCAGGCCATATGTCATCTATACAGACAAACAAGGATGCAAACACGTATACCGTTAAATAGACTATTCGTCAATGAAGACACCTCTCCGTATCTCTCTCTGTTTCTGTCTCTGTCTCTAACTCTCATACACACACACACACACACACACACACACACACACACACACACAGAGAGAGAGACAGACATTCACACACACACAAGTATGTCTCCCCCACCCTGCCTCAATACAGGCACATGAGTGCCTTTCTTTCCAAGATACAAAAGTTGAAACTCAGAAAGGGAAATTAGCTCACTGGAGATTATACAGCGGGCTGCTGTCTTCATCCAGCCTTCAGATCTTGGGAAACTTGTCAGGTTCCGGTCAGTTGGAGCTGACCTTGCTCCGAAGGACCTAAATCATTCATAATACATGATTAACAACACTTCCTTCCTCCCTTTGCTAGTCTATTCCAGCCTAAATGACTTAGTCATTAGGCCCAAGACCCAGCAAACGTGGCTTACAAATGATTTCTCAGTTGTTATCCTCTGGCTCCTCCTTAGCTAGCCTCTGACTTAAACCAACAGAAGAGGGGGATGGTACCAGCTTCTAGCCATCCCTGGGGATGGAGGAAGCTACCTTCCCCCTATACTATAGTGTGGATCCTACACCTTTCCAGCCTTGCTTGCGACTTCTGGGACAGTTGGGTTGCACAAGGCCAGGGCCAGCAAATGGTGACTTATCAGACGCTTTTAGAGGTACAGCCTCTACCCTGGCCAAGGACGTGTTGGGCAGCAAATCAGCTCAGCTTTCACATGCCTAGCCACAGATATCCAGTAGGGAATCCATGAACAGAGATAGCAGCTCCATCCTTCCAGGAACTTGATTTAAAGTCTTGGGTTAAAGGATCTCTCTGGATCATCCTGTGCTGCTTGTGGCATTAGGATTTCAGATCTCGATTGGAAAAAAAAAATCACAGTAAAAATTTAGATATTTCTGAATGTTTGGCTCAGAAACCACCTTGCCCAAGGAATTTGAGTGACCTATTTTCTCTCTCAAAGCTGTGAGTTTTTGTCTAAAGTATAGACATGGTAAAGAACTATCATGTGGCCCACAATGGCAAGCCACTAGTAGTGGTTTTCACTCTAGACTTTAAGGGGAAAGACTATATGATTGATTAGTAATGTCTGCTACATACACGGAAGGGGTATGGGAAGGTTGGTGTGCTACATATCCGCTTCCTTTGGAATCCTTTAGTCTTTTCCAGATGTTACATTTTGGATACTTTGATGTTTCTTATCCCCTCCACTTGTGGTCATCCCTGATGCAACAGGGACCGCTGTACATTGAGTTCCTTCCCTCTGCCTTTATTTGTTCTAGGGAGAGTTGAAAACTCAGCCTGAACTGCCAGCAGGACCCAGTCACATGGTCTAGAGGGTGCGGAGGCAGCAGGAATTCCTCCAGCCTGGTCTAGACAAAGTGAAACGTGGCACTTTAGGAGACACTGGAATTTCAGCAGGGCTGTGTCCAGCCACAGAGCCTGGAGCCGCCTCTGAGCTGCCCAGAACCAATTCTAGGTTTTAGCATTAGTGACACTCTAACCACTTCCCATAGCTTCATCCCTTCCAACAAGAAATAGAAATAAAAGCAAGGAATCTGGGGCAAGAGGGAGATGGGACACTTCAAGATAGGCTGAGCGAACTCAGGAGTTCAGAATAGTCAGGAACCTTAGGGGCTTCCTTGCCCAAGGGTGTCTGACTGTTCTAGGGGGAACCTAGAGGTATTTCAAGGTTTCTGGCTTATTATGTTGGAGTATGCTGTGTTCTCTCTCTCTCTCTCTCTCTCTCTCTCTCTCTCTCTCTCTCTCTCTCTCTGTCTCTCTCTGAGCCAGAGGTCAGCCTCAGCGGTTGCTCCTCAGGCTCTGTCCACCTTGATTTTAAGACAGTGTCTTTCACAGGCCTGTATCTTGCTGATTCAGCAGGACTGGATGATCTGCAAGGCCTAGATCCCTCTGTCTCTGTCTCTCTCCAGTGCCGGAGTTGCAAGCTTGTGCTGCCACAATTGAGTTTTACATGAGTACTGGGGGTTTGAACTCAGGTCCTCATGCTTGCCTTTATCAACCGAGCTCTCCCTTCAATCCCTGGTTTTTTTTTTTTTTTGTTATTGTTGTTTGTTTATTTGTTTTTATTTTCACTCATAGACATAGTCCAAGATGTGCAAAGGGTTTTGGAGGACACTGCTCTTCTGGAGCAGGCTTTCTCAACAAGTCCTTCACACTGGCAGCATTTTAAGGTTCAGTAACTCCCTGTGGTCTGGCCTGGTGGTGCCTAGCGCTCAGGAAGCAGAGGCTGGAAGGTCACAAATTTGAGGCCAGCTTTGACTACATAGTTAGACCTTGTCTCAAAGAGAAAAATGACTCCACCTCACCCTACCCAAACCAACCAAACACAAGAGAGTTGGGTATGGTGATTCAGGCCTGTAATTGCAGCATTTGGGAGGTGGAAGCAGAAGGATCTGGTGGTTGAGATCATCTTTGTTTACAGACCAAGTTTAAGGCTAACCTAGCCCCTGAGACCCTTAGGAAGGTCTCTGGGATTGCATTTCTCCACATGCTTTCCATTTGAGTTAGGTCATCCTCAGAGTCTGTGGTCCTGAGGCACACTGTCTAAAAGCCCACAGTTCTGAGGTTGCCCCTAGGTTTAGGTACTCAGTGGCGCCTTCATGTCCACAGGGAACTCCCAGGAGCCCCTTTAGGTTTGAAGGGAAGTGAGAGCTAGGGGCTGGCTGTACTTTTCCATCCTATCCTTTCCATCCAAAGAGCTAGACAAGTAACCTCTGCTTCAGGTCCTGCTGGCAGCCTAGGTTCAGTTTTCAGCTCTCTCCAGAACAAATAAAGGCAGAAGAAAGAGACTCAATGTACGGAACAGAGAAAGGGGGCGCCAGGGGTGTCTGCACTCGGCGGTCACAAAGCCAAGGGCAATACACCTCCACTTCCCTCCCACCCTGCCCAGGGCATTTTTCCTGCCTACTTCTCAGGCCAGGTTGGCCCAAGTGGGCACCCTCTTAATGACTACCCAGGAGCAGGTGTCTGCCAAGGGAAACATCAGAGTTGAGAGACCATACTGGTACCTGTCACTCATGTGCTGGACTGCTAGCTAGAGGCATGGATCTTCCTTTTTAGGCCCCAGCCTTCTCACCTGTACTTGGATGGCAGAAAGACCTTCCTCAGGCCCTCCTTGGAAGGCTGGTTTGTGAGAACGCTGAGGATATTTCCCCAAGCATGCTGGACTTAAGTTTGAATGTGGAAGATCATGGCTGCCTTGTACTGGCTACAGTTACCTTGTGCCTGCGTTGACTATTGTGCCTCAAACAAGCTTTGAAGGGTAGACTCCAGCTTTTTTAGCCAGAAGTATGTTGCAGAACCTCAAAGATGTGTCTCATGGGCAGGCAGATAATGTAGCCCTTCATCCGTAATAGTTAAGGGGCTCCCCTATCTGGTCCCCCTAACATCTAGATGAAAAGGATTCTGGGATTGGTGAACTATAATATGTGGAAAATAATCATCTCTGAGTTTTTATGTCTGCCCTTCTCCTTACCCTTACCCAGACTCTGGGCTTAAATCCAGGAAGCACTCCAGGACTTAGGTTCTGAGACAGGACAGAATGAAAGGACACGATGATTGGAGGTGGGGGACAGGGGGGGTCTTAGGGTCCCCAGATCCCTCCTTCTGCTTGGATGAGACACCCAACCTTAGGAATCGTGTCTCTAGCTCTCAAACCTGAAGCCTATGACATATCCCGGCCTGGCTACCTCCCCAGAGCTTTCACTCCTCTACTGTTGAAGCCTGGCCTGGGTGACGTTTGGGCTCCAGCTGCCAGCCACACTTTGATCTTTTCATTTCAAACAAACCCAGACAAGTCCTTCATTGATGCCCTCTCTCCCGTTCCATCTGCCCAAAGCCACATGCAGAGGATGCTGGACAACGGTTTTCCAAATGGAGAAGCAAGAAGGGAAACAAGTGAGCAACTGTGAGAGGGGAAGAATGTTCCAGAAACTGCCTAGACAGGGAGAACTAGACCCTTTGGGCAGGTGGATCTGTCCTGAAACAACGCCAAACTTCCAAATCAATTTCTTTCTTTAACTTCTTATAGTTTTACTTCATGCTCACACCATCAAGTTGGGGTTAAGGCTCTTTCCAGTTTAGCCTAGCACAGGATCGTTATGGCCTCTCCCTCCTCTGCCTGTTCTGCTAGTCAAGTCTTGTCTGAAAAGTTCTGTGGTGCTGTAGATTCAGCTCAGGGCCTCATACATGCTAGCCAAGTACTATTTTGTGTGCCACACCCTCAGCTCAAAGATGTTTGGGATCTGGACTTTTTTTTTCTTTCTTCCAAATACTATTATCTGAGGAAAGAAGGTGGGTACTAGAGGAGGGGACACGCTAAGATCCGCTTTCCTTGTGCTTGTTTGGAGCCGGGGACTGAAAGCTAGCATATGCTCCATTCCTGTCAGTCATCTGAAACTTTACCTCTTCTGACCCTGTTGACAGATGGGGAGCCAAGGTTTAGAGAGAATAAAGGGTGTAACCCATACATGGAGATGGAGAGAATATCGAGGTGGAATAAGAATCCTGAACATTGAATCTAAGCTCAGTAGCTTTGCCTGAGCTGTCACTGCATCTCCCAGCACCAAGCTTTGTCAGCTGAGAAAGTTGGAGAGGTGCTAGGGTTGGAGAGGCTAAGAGGAAAGTCTTGGGAAACCAATAAGAAAGGCATCACCATTGCTTTCTTGACTGAGAGCTCTGAAGGGGCAAGAAGGAGCTGGCTTGCTCTGTGTGGCTGTAGAAAGGGACAGCATAAACTGCAAGCTTGAGGGAGGCATATCTAGCAAGAACTTTCTAGATCCACTTGGTAACAGAAGCCTGTCTGGTTAGCACCAGGAAGCAATGTTCCCACCACACGTTCCTGAGTCTTCAGCGGAAGTCTGCTCCAGAGATCCATTCTAGGCTACTGTGTGAGAGTTCAGAGTCCGGCATCTGGGAAGTGATCAGGGGAACAGTTTAGATCTTAGCTGACATCCCCTCTGCAACACAGGGACACCTCTGGATATTTCCTTAGAGGATCCAAAGAATGCTGTCCCTGTGGGTAGGGTAGAGGAAACATGATCCCCCAGGTTCCTTCCTGGCACCTCAGACTCTTACTCAGGCTTTGTCTTAAATGTGTGTCTCATTGTTTCGGATTCCTGTTGACTTCTCCACTGCAGAGGAGGGAGTGTGGAGGGGAGGGGAAGAGGAAAGGGAGGAGGGAGGAAGAGGAAGAGGGAGCCAGAGGGAGGGGAAGAAAAGCATAGGCAGAGGGGGCCTAGGGAGCATGGGACACGGTTATGGAATAGGGGACAAAAGTCTTAGAGCAAGAGGCATCAAAGGCCCAAACTTGACTTTTTAGCCTGTTGTCTTCTTCCAATCACTTAAAAAACCGAAACCGATGTACTGAGAACGGAGACCTCATCTCATGACCATATATAGAAAACTCTGTACCTTTATCCTCAATAGAAGGAAACTGGAGATGGGGTGGGGAGCCAAGCGGCAGAAAAATGAATTCCATTAGCTGCTGCTTGCAGCTGCAGTTTCCCTTGGAGGCTCCAGGCCAGGACTGTGTTTTATATGAAGAGGTAGGACAATGGGCGTTGGAGGTGCAAAGGGCATCTTAGCTCTAACGAGGAGTCTTTTCCACTGCCAAGAGGTCAACACTTGTCTTAGTTAACATTCCCATCTAACCCAGGAACTCAGGAGGAAGTCTCTCTTGCTGACTCCTCTTCTCTTCTCTTGCAGAGTTCCCAGCACCATGAGGGCCTGGATCTTCTTTCTCCTTTGCCTGGCCGGGAGGGCCCTGGCAGCCCCTGTAAGTAACCGAAGATGCTGTCTGAGTTCTAATTCATCCCATTTTCTCCAGCTTCTGAACTTGCTCTGGGTGCTCAAGGAGACATCAGGGATATGGCTCAGTTGGTAGAGTGCTTACTTAGCATTTGTGCACAAAGTCCTAGGTTCAATCCCCAGCATTACATAAACCTGGACTTAGGAAAACAAACCTACAGTCTCAGCATTTGAGAGGTAGAGGTAGGAATACCCAGAGTTCAAGGTCATCTTCAGGTATGTAGTGAGTTTGAGGTCAGCCTGGGCTACATGAGATCCTGTCTTTAATAAAAGGAGACTGTGTAGTGGTTAAGGGCACTTGCAGAAGACTCACGTTCGATCTTCAGAACCCAAATGGTAGCTTACAACCAGAGGATCTGACGCCCTCTTCTGACCTCTTATGGGTACCAGGCATGTATATAGTGTATAGACATACACGCAGGCAAAATACTTATACACATAAAATAAATAAATCTAAAAAAAATTAAAAATAAGTAAGTCTCTTTATTAAGCCAACAAGGTTAGGAGAATTAACATGAGGGAAGCAGCTCTCTGTGAAGTTCAGAGCTCACACACTAGTTCCGGCACTCTTAGCAGGATCTGACCTCTTCAGAGAGGGAGTCAGCAGCAGGGATGAGGGACTGTTGGTGGGAAAGAAGCTGGCAGAAGGACCTAGGTCCAGAGAAAGGAACAGGTTGGCTTCTGAATCTGGGAAGATATTAGATAGTAAGTAACTGACTCCGGCTGAATTGCGGGAGATAGAGAAGATGCAGACAAAGATCTCTGCATTCGAGGCTGTTGGAGACCTGGGGTAGACAACAGCTCCAGTCGGATCTTGGAGTAAGACTGGAACTGGGCAGGGAGAGGGAGGAGTTGCCATTGGAATGAACCACAAATGACCATTACTCCATCTTGAAAATGTGAAGCAAGAAGAAATAAAAAGGAAACATTCAAAGAGAAACATTTAATGAGAGCCAATCAAGCTAAATGAGACCCTCGCTTCCTGGCCCCACCATGGTCTCACTATATACTCTGGTTTGCCTCCAATTCCTACTTCCTCCACCCCTGCTTCAGCCTCCCGATGTCTGGGGTTACGTGTGCCAGCACTCCTGGCTAGCAACGTTTCACACTGGCATTCTCTGCGCTGTTCACTAGCAGGTAGATGGCAGCTTCTGGCCAAACTCATCAGGCAGGCAGATTTTAGCTGAAGATTGGTGAGGTTACCGTTAATTTTGGAAGGGGTTACAGCCAATCAGAGGCCTGAAAGTTTCTCGTCACCCAACTTGCTCTTTCTGGAGTCTGAAATGTCAGGAGGGAATTTCCGAATAGCCATAAAATGAGGTCACATGTGAGGGGCAGGGAGATTTGGCATCTATTAGGAGTCACAGAGGGTATTCATTCTGAGTCTTGGTTTTAGTGTCTTTGTTAGGGTTTTACTGCTGTGAACAGACACCATGACCAAGGCAACTCTTCTAAGGACAACATTTAATTAGGGCTGGCTTACAGGGTCAGAGGTTCAGTCCATTATTATCAAGGTGGAAGCATGGCAGCTTCCAGGCAGGCATGGTGCAGGAGGAGCTGAGAGTTCTACATCTTCATCTGAAGCCTGCTAGAAGATTGGCTTCCAGGCAGCTAGTATAAGGGTCTTAAAGCCCACGCCCACAATGACACACTTCCTCCAACATGACCACACCTACTCCAACAAAGCTGAACCTCCTAATAATGCCACTCCTTGGGCCAAGCATATTCAAACCACCACAGTCTGCTTCTGCTGTTTTGGGGATGTATTGAGGCTTAACTGGCAGAAATGCTCCTGTCAGTAAAATGAGGGATAGACGAGATGGTTTGGTGGAAAGTGTATAAAAGTCAAGTGTGCTGGTTCAAGCATGAGATCCCAGTTCTTGGAAGGCCAAAACATAGTTGACAAGTTCAAGGTCAGCCTGGGCTCTGTAGCAAGATCCTGTCCAAATGAAAGGAAATAAAGAAACGAGGGCTTGCTTCAGCAGTAGACTGACTGAAACTGGAAGGATATTGAGAAGACCGGCACAGCCCTAGTGCAAGGGGACACACGAACTAGTGAAGCATTCCATACTTTTAAAAAAAGAAATAAAGATGGGGCCAGAGAGATGGGTCGGCCGCCAAGCCTGAGGATCTAAAGACCCACACCTCAGGAGAGAACCGGCTTCCCCAAGTTGTCCTATGTTCTCCACACATTCGTTGTGGTATGGGTGCTCATTCTATCCCCCACATAAAACTCACATACACAAATAAATTCATTGTGATAACAGATTTTTTTTTTTAAAGGAAGGAAGAATGAAGTAGTACTGTGAGCTCCAGCCTGAGGCATCAAGCCTCCAGGCTTGTGTTCCCAGACAGAGATAATTCAGAGAGGAAGCTGGCCTTGGCCTTGACCAACTCTCTGAACCCTGTTCTCTTTTCCAGCAGCAGACCGAAGTTGCTGAGGAAATAGTGGAGGAGGAAACTGTGGTGGAGGAGACAGGGGTACGTATGTGGTGTGGTGGTGGTGGCGGTGACCCCAGGCTTAATCCCTTTCTGCCTGGTCCCTTCTTTGGGCCATCCAGACAAGTGCAGTGGGGTTCCTTATTGGACCAGGACATGCATCCCTCCTTATGTGCATACAAGGCACAGATACTAACCTGAGTATCCCCATGTACCCTTGACTGTTCCCCAAACCTTCAGTTGAGCCCTGAGCTCCTGAGGATTCAGAAATGTTTGGGTTTCATATTTTTTCTGTTATCACACATGGTCTCCCCTGATGTGAAACAAAAGAATCCACTCAGTTGGGCCTGGCAGGCATAGAGGGCACGGTATGCCTTCTTGTCATAACATCTTGGAGACCTCTGATTTATCTTAATGAAATTCCAGGGCTCTAGACATTTAATATAGACTAATAAATTGAATGAATACTAATAAGTAATAAGATTTCCACCAAAATCTTCACTCTAGCATTTGCACTGAGATCTGGGCCCAGCCCACCTTTCTCCTGGGTGCCCCTCACGCTCTCTTCTGGGTTTCTGAAGCTTCATTCAGGCCCCCTTCTTTGCAACCCTCTCCCAGGTCTGGGGTGGAGTGAGAACCCCTGAACTCATTTTCTTTTCTCTTCCATGCTAGGTACCTGTGGGTGCCAACCCAGTCCAGGTGGAAATGGGAGAGTTTGAGGAAGGTGCAGAGGAAACTGTTGAGGAGGTGATGGCTGACAGTAAGTCTCTTCTCTGTCACCTGGCATATCTTGATCGCTCTCAGCTGTGAGGGTAGAGGTCTAAGGACAGTTCACAGGAAGTTTCTAGCCAAGGAGAAGCATTATGGGGCTCTGGTAGCTGTGGGGGGCCAGCTGGGAACCCTCAGGTCAGGGAAGTCTGGGATAGATCTGTTTATAGCCAGGCCATCCAAGTTGTGAAGGACAGAGGAAACTCTGTAGTTTGGTGTCAGATTCTCATAGGTTACATCTGGTCACCAAGATTCCTGCCCCAGGGCTTCAGCCTGGGCTCAAGCTCCTCCTGGGAGCCATCTGAGAAAGCTGACTGGCTCATTTAATTTCCACTTGGCCCAAGGGAGCAGAGCCTGATGTAAATTCTAATACCTTAAGTAGAGAGACAGTGACTCAGGGTCCCAGTCTTGAGCCCACAGATGGAGGCATCCCTGTCTAAGGACATGGACTTTGGAAGTGGAGATTCAAACAAGGTTTGAACCCTTTGAACCAGGGCTTCTGTGTCTTATCAAGGCAGGATGGAAGCTCCAAGGAAAAGGCTCGGTGGATAAGATTACTTGCTGCACTAGCATGAAGACCGAGTTCAGCACCCACTTCAGCTTTTTCATGGGGACAGCTACGGGTGTCTGGCAAGAAGGGGCAAGGCTTGCTGGAGCAGAGGCTGGGCCTGGGGTCTTGAGTCATATCCCTTTCCTCTTCCATGCCCAGCCTTTGTTTCCTGTCATAGCTGGGCCCATTGTCTATTATGGGTCTGGGTTCTTCTTCCTTTTCCTTTGTGGACACCTGATTCTATACTGTTGGACCTCACAGCTTAGTTGAATCTACAACAATAGCTCAATCTTCCAGGTCACTCTAGAAAGTACTTTGAATCCAGAAATGCTGCACTGTGCTTGTTCAGCAGAGAGCTGAGAAGAAGGGAGCTGTTGTTTCAGTCACTGGGGGATCCATTTGCACCCCAGGTCTCTGAGTTCCAGACGGACATTCCAGCTCTCTGAAAAGGGTCTAGTCCCAACCTTCAACTGAATCTCCAATCCCCAGACTAAGCAAACTGCTCCCCTAAACTCTGTTAGCACAAAGGATTAGGGGATGCCCAAAATTCTAGTGCTGAGAGTGGAGTACACTCAAAGGCTATCAGCCCCAAACTCCCAACCGTGTGGTGTGGAAGCACGTGCCAGCCTGGTGAGCTGACACTATGTTTTGTTCCCCAGACCCCTGCCAGAACCATCACTGCAAACATGGCAAGGTGTGTGAGCTGGATGAGAGCAACACCCCCATGTGTGTGTGCCAGGACCCCACCAGCTGCCCCGCTCCCATTGGCGAGTTTGAGAAGGTAAGAGTGGGGACCTGGGCCCAGCAAAGCATAGTGTCTGTTAAAAAAATCTCTTTATGGGGAGAAGCTCCATTCTCAGAAGGCCCCTCCCTAGGACCAGTCACAACAGGAAAGTGGAGCTGAGTCACAAGTGAGAGCCTGCCTGGCCCCATCCCTCTAGCGCTGATGAGAGTTTAAGAGTTTCCTTGTGCCACCAGGTTCCAGGCTCTGTGTTGAGACTGATCACTGAGTGCTACATAGTCTCAGGAGGAGTGCACTCCAGTTCATTCTTCTATTACTATTTTGTTTTACACTTTATTTCTTTTGTGTGTTTGTGGCATGCACGCATGTGGACATCAGAGGACTTGCTTGATTGGTTCTCTCCTTCCACCATGTGGAGACCAAGATTCCAACTCAGGTCAGCTGGTTTGGTGACAGGCACCTTTACCTGTTAAGCCATCTCACTAGCCCTTCAATACCTCTATAATTAGCAAAGCATTGTGCCCACAGATGGGGGTCTGGGGTCTGCTCGAAGACCGACTGCCAACCTCATCTCCATCACTTGAGAGTTGTGAGATTTTAGTTAAAGCATTGAGTGTCTCCAAGTCTTAGTCCCTCACAACCAAAGAGGGTGAAAGAATCTTGAACTCACAGAGCTGCTATGGCATCTGTTAGAGGATGCCAGGTATGTGACAAGGATCCAGCATTGTTATTTCTCAAATGTCTCCATTCTATCTCCAACATGCATGTACTTACCATGTACTCATCCACCCATTCATCCATCCATCCAGCATATATTCATGCATCCACCCAGCCATGCACCCATCCTTATGCATTCATCTACCCACACAACCATAAATCCACCCATGAATCTATCCACCCATTTAGCCAACCATCAACTCACCCACCCATTTGCCTATCTTCCCGTCTACTCATTCATCTGTTCATTCATCTATCCATCCATCCACCCACCCATTTAACCAACCATCTTCTTATCCCACTCATCCATTCAAAACTCATCCACCTAACCACCCATCCATCCACCCACCCACCCACCCACCCCATCTATCCATCTACCCACCCATTCATTCACCCTCCATCTATTCACATACTCATCTACCCACCCACTCATCCATCCATCCATCCATCCATCCATCCATCCATCCATCCATCCATCTATCCACATACACATCCATCCACCCACTCAGCCACCCACCCACTCACACATCCACGCATCTACCCATCCACCCATATACTCATCTATCCATCCACTTAAACAAATGTTTTTTGAACACTCACCTGTGCCAATTGTTGTGCAATCCACCATCTGGCTTAAGACAGCAAATCTCATTCTAATTCTTCCAATCTAGCTGTGCATTTTTCTTTTTTCTTTTCTGTCTCTGTAGACCAGGCTGGCCTCGAACTGAGAGATCTGCCTACCTCTGCCTCTCAAGTGCTGGGATTAAAGACATGTGCCACCACTACCCGGCCCACATTTTTCAATATCTTCCCAAGACAATCCTTGCCTCTAGGATTCACATATTAGCTTCACTTTTACCTCTTCCTTCTTCTTCCCCATCCCACTGCTCTCTGGTGCTGCAGTCTCCCCTGCAGCAATGTGTAAGACTTTATTGACTCCACACTTGCAGGTCAGGCCTTTCCCCTATCAAAGGCTGCTCCTACTTGTGCTCCTGCTCTCAGCTAACCCCCAGACTCTCTGTTTGGTTCCTCTATGACCAAGGTTTTCCAGTAGGACCCAACGAGTCAGTTGGCCCAGCTGAGGTTCACCCAAGTCCATATTCTGGATAGTCACCTGGATTGCAGGGGAAGCAGAGAGAGGCTGAAGCATCCAGAGGAGTCTTCCTTTTCCCCTAGGAGGATTACACAGGGGTCTTTCATCCCAGCTCCAAACATGGGGCGGTAATGTTCTGGAACTCTCTGGAGTTAGGTCCTATGTGATATCTTTACCTGTTGAGCTGTCTCACTGGCCTTTCAGTTTTAGTTGAGCAAACTCTGGTGGTTCAGGCTTATCATCCCTGGTACAGAAAGGCTGGAGTAAGAGGAAAGTTGAAAGTTCAAGGCTTGGCTCTGCTACACAGTGCTACAAGGTCAGCCTGGCCAATGGAATGAGAGTGTCCTAAAACAAGACAATGAAGGGATAAGGATTATGATCATTAATAGAGCACCTACATAGCATGCACAAAGCTACTCAGCTCTGACACCGCAAAAATGTCTTCACCAGGGACTGATCCATAGTTGCCCTCTGTTGAGTGCGGACCAGTTCCAGACTCCCACTGGGGGCATGGGTACTCTGCCTAAAGTACTCTCTGCAAGCAGCCCATGATCAGTGAGCATCCTTGTCAGCTAGGGAACTGTCATCAGTATCAAGCCAGGGTGACCTTATGCTGCATTCTTCCTTTTCTCCCTTCCTCTTTCTTCCTTCTTTCTCTTTCTCCCCCCTTTCTTCATTTATGTGGTGTGTGTGTGTGTGTGTGTGTGTGATGGTTTATGCTAGTAGTCAGTTGTCTTCTACCATGTGGATCCAGGGATCAAACTCAGGTTATTAAGGTTGATGGCAAGCTTAGCAAGCTTGGCAAGCTTTTTTTTTTTTTGGTTTTATGAGATAGGGCTTCTCTGTATTGCTCTGGTTGGCCTGTAACTTGCTTTGTAGACTGGCCTTGAAGTCACAGAGATCCACCTGCCTCTGCCTCCTGAGGGCTAGGATCAAAGGTGTGTGCCATCATGCCTAGCTTGAGTGTCTTTACTGTCTAAGCCATCTCACCTACCCTACTGTGTGTTTCAGAAGGATAATGACTCCTGGAGTGCTGTGTACTTTTTTTTCCATGCACGGGTGTCTTTCCCCCTATCTCTTACTGTTCTTGAAGTATCTTTTGTGCCTTAGCCCTGACTCAGATGTGCCCCTGCTCCAAAGTCACCCATGACCCTTATATAGTGGAATAGCAGGATCTAAAGTGGGCTTCTGTGTCCCAATCTCTAATTCACTGTGTATGTGAGACCTTAGCTGTTCTCATTGTTTGGGTTCCCTTGTCCCCATGTCTGAAATGGCAGTGACGGGGATACTGGGTAGGGCTTTGGGAATGAAGGAGGTGCCCTGTGCTTGGTCAACAGGTGTGCAGCAATGACAACAAGACCTTCGACTCTTCCTGCCACTTCTTTGCAACCAAGTGCACCCTGGAGGGCACCAAGAAGGGCCACAAGCTCCACCTGGACTACATTGGACCATGCAAATGTGAGTGTCCTCATGCCTTCCAGACTCCTTCTCAGGGAGATGGCTCTGTGCCCTCACTGATGACAGCTCTGTGATCTTGGGTAAATCCCTTCCCCTCCATGAGTCCCAGTGTGACCATCCATAAAATTAATTCAAGCTGTCTTCTCTCCTGGGAAGACTTAGCCATCATGAGAGCAGATTTTAGAGAAGACTGCAAGAACCTTCCACTAGCATCCAGACAACCAAACCTTCTTTCTTCCTTTCTTTCTTTCTTTCTTTCTTTCTTTCTTTCTTTCTTTCTTTCTTTCTTTCTCTGATGATGAGGATGCTCTTTTATAAGGCTAACTCAAGTGATTCCTGTTTCAGCACTGAAAAACAAAAACTGTTTGACCTGGACCTGCAGAATATTCAATATTTTAAATTCAAATAGGGACATGCCTGAAACTGGGGAAATAGCTCTCTAGGCAAAGTACTTGTATAAAAAGGCTAGGTGTGGTAGCACATACTTGTACCCCTGGTGCTGAGGAGGTGGAACCTGGAACACTCCTGGGGCTCACTGAAGAGCCATCCTAGCCTAATGGGTGATCACCAGACCAACAAAAGAGCATGTCTCATAAAATAAGTTGGATGGCCCTTGAGTGATATCTGCGGTTGACCTCTGGCCTCCACACGTGTGTGTATGTATACATGACTGTGAGCACACATACATACCAATATAAGTGGATAAATGAAGTTAAACATTAGGGGCATACCTGTCATTTTCTTCAGGCTCTAGTCCTCCATTGGCACAGACCATAACTTCTTATTCCATCATATCCCTCCTTCTCCTTTTCTAGAAGACTGGGAAGTTTGAAGAGGGATGCCAGGGGCTCTGACTGGCCCATTGCTAGTGACCCAAGCTGTAAATTCTGCTGGCTCTGGGGCTTCCTCCTCATCTGAGTCTCCCAAGCCATACTCACTGCCTGTGAGACAACATGAGCTGTGTATCTGTACCATGTTCTACATAAGAACACCCTTCCCCATGGGCTGGGGCTATAGCTAAGTGGCAGAGTGTTTGCCTGGTGTGCTTAGGGTCCTGCACCCCCCCCCATCCCCAGCACTGTAAGTCAAATTGAACCAAATTAAAACAAAGGAGAGTCCCTCCCCAGCCTGAGGTTTTCAGCTGTAGAAAGTGAGGGCAGTTAGCCCTGAGCTCTTAACATTAGGGCTGGAATATACAAGGGGGAGACAGAGATTTAGAGATCCTTAGAGAAGACAGGATAGAGGAAGTTGGTGAGGAATCTTGGCCTATGAGGTGAGGAATAGTCTAAGGAGTCCTTAGCAAGTGGCTGTTGCAGCCCCTGAGGCCACTCATTTGCCCACTCCAGCTCCATGTGGAGATCTGCACTCCCAGATGGCAGTGATCCTAGCCACGGAAGGGCTTTCCTTGGGCTCAGAGCCAAGGATGAGCAGGCATCAGATCCCCCAGGTATCCACCCTAACTGGATCCAAAGCTGATGCTCTGATAGTCTGGCTGTAAGCAAGAGCCTTCTTCTTTAACAAGAGCCTGTTCCTAAGTCCAATGACAGGAGAGCGTGGAAGAAATCTCCAGGTGTGACATTCTGGGTGCTATGTTCTGAAGACAAGGATGAGGTTATGATCTCTAAAATGGTTCTGGGAGCTGTGTATGTTTGAGCCTTCTCCCCACTGCTGCTGTGCTGGACTTACGGATACAGATTGTTTCAAACACCTCCTAAAGGCTGGCCTTCAGTCCTGCTGGGATCAAACAATGGCCATCACCTAGAAAGGCACAAGAGCATCTGGGGTGGTGGAACCTCTCAGCAGGTTAGGTACAAGCCAGGAAGCTGCAAGGCCTTGAGCTTCGCCATGCAGTCTTTACTTATGAATCTGGAAAGACTCTGGGTCAGAGAGCAGAGACACCATGGACAGGGTTGCTCACCAGAGTGCTATGGGGTGTAAGACAAGGAGGAGAGAGTAGTTGGGTAGCATGTGTGCCCTCTTGCATGTCTAGGCTGACTAATCCTGTCTCTTGTGCCCTAGACATCGCCCCCTGCCTGGATTCTGAGCTGACCGAATTCCCTCTGCGCATGCGTGACTGGCTCAAAAACGTCCTGGTCACCTTGTACGAGAGAGATGAGGGCAACAACCTCCTCACTGAGAAGCAGAAGCTGCGTGTAAGTGGCCTCCTCCCAGCTTGGAATGGTGTGCCTGCTATTGATTTCCGTGGAATCTGCTGATGGAGATCTAGGGCTAATCTTTAGAACCAGGCCCCAAGGTGGTCTATGCCTCACTTTGCAGGGTGCCTTCACCCTTGATACCAGGACACAAACATCCAGCTACCTTTGGAGGCTCTGAGGAGGTCTGTAGTAGACAGACCCAAAGCATAACCCTATTCTCTCTCCTTTGGAGTCAACAGGCCTTCTCTTTTAGTGAGCATGTTTAGCCCCATGGCAGAGACTTAGGGTGGGGTTCTTGCCCTCTTCTAAAGCCTCCATAGGCAATGGTGGCTTGAAGCAGGTCTTGCTATGGTTTCCCCATCTGTGTGTGGATAAGCTGCTGACTATCACCAGCACCTGTCTCCTAGCCTCATCGTGAGCTCTAGTCTTGGCTGGCCTCTTGTTGGCTAGACCCTTGGTTAACTGATGATTCCACCTCTGTAGGTGAAAAAGATCCATGAGAACGAGAAGCGCCTGGAGGCTGGAGACCACCCTGTGGAGCTGCTGGCCCGAGACTTTGAGAAGAACTACAACATGTACATCTTCCCTGTCCACTGGCAGTTTGGTCAGCTGGATCAGCACCCCATTGATGGGTAAGAGTCAGGGTTCTCAGGACCATAGGCTCAGCTTTGTACTGGGATGGGGCTGGTAGGGCATTAGATGAGGCTCTAAGGCCCCTCAGCAACTTTTGCTGCTTCCCAGTCCAAGACTCCACCATCAGCTTAGGGCTGGAGCAGGTGGAGCAAGCATCCTTCGGGAAGATGAAGACTTGGGAGGAAGAAAGCCCTGAGACATGTAAGGTCAGAGGAAGTGATCAACAGCAGTACAAAGAGTTCTTCCAAGGCCTGTGAAGGCAGGAGCAGGGGACCCATGTGGGCAGAGAAAAAGAGTCTAGGAATAGCCTCCAATGTGACCAGAGTCAAGCCTCAGGGCCTTGCTCATCCTTGTTCATGCCTGCTTGTGGTCCTTCAGTGGAATAGGGCTGCCATCACAATGGCCATGTCCCATATCCCTCCTGAGGTTCAGCTCCATGGAGCCCACCTGGCCCCAAAAGTTCCCCAAAATTTCAATGGCTTCCATATCACATATTCCCAACCTGGTGCTCTTGCCTGTGGTCTGGGCATTAAGGAGACTTCAGAGAGTTTGAAGAGCACTACTTGAGCTGACACTGAGTAGATATCCTTCTGTCACTTCTGGCCTCTCTTTGTAGCCGTGAGAGGCCCTGTTTAGGTCCCAAAGAGACAACTCACTCACTCCTTCTTGGAGCCATTTCTGCTCTTTGCTTTGAATATGAGAAATAGGTGGTCACTCAGGGGACAGGCAGGGCCACCTTGCTGGCATATCTGGAAGAGAGATATCAGGTCAGAAAGGTTCCTCTCTGAGATGCTCATTGATCTATGTCCGGTTGTGTGCCAGGACATTACCCACCCCGCTGGCCACCCCCCATCCCTCAACTCCCTCCCAGTTCCTGGCTTTCCTAGGCTCTGGGAAGCTCTCAGCTGCTCCTCTCCCAAGCTCTTGCGGTGGCTGGGATCCAACTGAGTGACACAGGGGTATGGAAGGGAGAGTCCTGGGGGACATCTGGATCCCATGTGCCAAGTGGCCTAGAGAAAGTTCGAGATGGAGTGTCAGGGCAATGGCTGGGAAAGTGCTCCAGCCTCCTCTTGGTCAGAGTTGTTGGTGGCCTTGCAGCTGCCTCAGTCTGTTTTCTCACAAGACAGCAAAGGATGGTTCTGGCCAGTTCAGATTTTGTGTGATGCCTCTTGTAAGCAGGAGACTGTGAAGAACATTGGTGTCACAGTATCCTCTGAAGTCCCTTGTGGGTAATAGTGTTCTGGGGACAATTAATTGGGATTCTGAGGAGAGAAAAGGAAAAGAAGCAAAGATCGTGCTTTGGAGTCTGAGACCAGCAGAGAGGACTGGGTGGAGGACAGAGGGAGGATGACCCTGAAGTCACTCATTGCATGGTATAGAGAAGATTCATGAAATCAATGTGTCCTTCTCATCTTACCGCCCAGCCAGGCCTGGCTCAGCCTCTCCCGGAAGTCAGAGTCATCACCAGATTTTGTTGTTCACTTACTTCTTATTTTTAGTGCTGGGAATAGAACCTCTCACTAGGGGATTCTAGGAAGTGCTCTATCACTGAACCACACCACACTCCAGCCCCTTACTGGAGGATTCTACTCAAATACTCCACCACTGAACCATGGTCCCCCTTTACTGGTAGATCCTCAAGGAGGACTCAGGGCAGGTGCTCAACTGCAGAGCTGTATCCTAGCCCTATTAAAAGACTGATAGGCCTTTTTAGACCCCGTTTTAGGCTCCTGCAGCTATATCAGTGTGTGAACATCAAAAATCTACAGTGTGGTCAGGCAATGGTGGTACATGCCTTTAATCCCAGCACCCAGGAGGCAGAGGCAGACGGATTTCTGAGTTCAAGGCCAGTCTGGTCTACAGAGTGAATTTGAGGACAGCCAGGGCTATACAGAGAAACCCTGTCTCAAAAAAGGAAAAAAGAAAGAAAGAAAGAAAGAAAGAAAGAAAGAAAGAAAGAAAGAAAGAAAGAAAGGAAGGAAGGAAGGAAGGAAGGAAGGAAGGAAGGAAGGAAGAAAGAAAGAAAGAAAGAAAGAAGGAAAATCTCAGACTTTGACATGCCATAACAGAGGTGCCAAATCTAATGTTTCTATATCCCCAACACTCAGCCAAGTGGCCCTTACGATGAAGCTCATAGACTCAGAACTGGAACAGCTTCCACTACCCTCTCCCATCAGCTGGAGTAGGGCTGTGTGGTGCTGTGGGTAAAACCAGATTCCAGCCCTGGGCTCCTACCACTGACTTCCCATACTGGGCTGTGTTCTCCCATGCTCACACCCTGCCCTACTCTTTCCCTGCCAGGTACCTGTCCCACACTGAGCTGGCCCCACTGCGTGCTCCCCTCATCCCCATGGAACATTGCACCACACGCTTCTTTGAGACCTGTGACCTAGACAACGACAAGTACATTGCCCTGGAGGAATGGGCCGGCTGCTTTGGCATCAAGGAGCGTGAGTGTTTGGGCTTGGGGCTGGGAAGAAGTGTCCCTGAAGGATGGGATATTGTCCCTTCTCCTTCCTATCCTGTCTGTCTCCTTTGCCTCTTTAGCTTATCTCTGCTCTCTCTGACTTTGTGCCCAAAGGTTTCTTTAACTGAACCTCAAACATTAATCCTCACTCCATGTAAGCACTATTTTGGGAACTGGCCGCCTGGGGAGAGGAAACAGGAAGTGTGACTTGGCAACCAGCACAAGAGATGGAGATAGGCCAGGGTCAGGGAGATCAAGGTCCCATTCACACACTTCTCAGTGCCCTTGACTGGTCACTGGCCCCGGGTCCTGGGATGGAAGTGGATCAAATAGACCCTAGAACGGACACCGGCCTCTGTTGCATTAGCATATGGTGATTGTGTGCAATCAAGGATTTCATCATGGCGTCTTCACTCGTGTACCTGATTTATTTGATCATCTCCATAGCCTATTTCCGTCTCTCGTTCCCACTCCCTCTGCCCCCCCTTCTCTTCCTGACCAGCCCCTTTCTGTTTTCAAGTGGTAGAGCCTTATTTTAACCCCGTCTCTTTTCCCTCTGCAGAGGACATCAACAAGGATCTGGTGATCTAAGTTCACGCCTCCTGCTGCAGTCCTGGACTCTCTCTCCCTTTGATGTTCCCCCTTCCATTAGCCCCTTGTTTAAAATGTTTGGATGGTTGGCTGTTCTGCCTGGGGATAAGGTGCTAACATAGATTTAACTGAATACGTTAACGGTGCTAAAAAAAAAATGTAAGAAAGAAAGAAAGGAACTAGAACCTAAGACACAGCATTTTCCCACATAATTCAACTCTGAGGTCATGGCTCATCCACAACCCTCTTGTCCCCTGCACTGCACAGTGTCTCACTGGCTGTGTTGGAAACAGAGTTGCATAAGCTCACCTTCCACAAGCACAAGATATCTTTAGCTTTCATTTTTATTTTGCATTTGACTCTAACACTCAACCCAGACTCTGTGCTTATTTCATTTTGGGGGATGTGGACTTCCTGGGGTCTTCCCCTGGTGGTTTGGAGGTAGGCAGAGGGAAGTTACAGACGCAGATACAAAATTTGGGCAAGGATACTGTGAGACCTGAGGATCCACCAGTCAGAACCCAGATGGCAAGTCTCGGTAGCCTAGGTCAACAATTGACATAATAATCCAGGGCTGTGACACATATAAGAGACTCCCAGCAGCCCGGGACCTCGCTCTCTCCTCTACTCTTTGGGCAGTTTCTTTCCATGTTCGGCTGTTGGTTTTAATTTTGGTGAGCCATGGGAGCCATGGGTGGACCAGAACATCACGAGGGATTCTCTTACTCAATTGCTAATGGACTTTCAGGCTCTTGCTGGGAGCTCTAGGCACTGGGAGGCGGTTTCAGGAAAGTGAGACTCAAGAGGAAGACAAAGAAGGTTGTAAAGTAGAGAAAGTGAGGCTGGTGAATTGGTTTGATCTTTCCCATCTAGACAGCTGTCATAAAGTTTCTAGCATATCCTCCCTCACCTCTCCCCACTCCCTGCCACTTGAAACCTTCTACTTACTAATCAAGAGAAACTTCCAAGCCAACGGAATGGTCGGATCTCACAGGCTGAGAATTTGTTCCCCTCCAAGCATTTCATGAAAAAGCTGCTTCTCATTAACCATGCAAACTCTCACAGTGATGTGAAGAGCTTGACAAATCTTTCAAAATAAAAAGTAATGACTTAGAAACGGCCATCCTGGGTGATGGTGGTATGTGTGTGTCTTACTCTTGGGTGCTTTGTTTTCAGGTGTGCACAAATGTGGCCATACTTGTGCACAGAAGCAAACACTCCATTGTGCTTTTACACACATGTATTCACACGCTCATACACAGGGAAGCTAAGGCTCCTGTGCTCCTGTGAGCACTAATTTAACAAACAAAGAACCCAGTTCCTGGGCTGGGATGTAGCTGAGTTGGTAAAGTGCTTACCCAGTATGAACAAAGCCTGGGTTCGATCCTTTGTACAACCTAAGCTGGGTGCGGTGGTGAATACTTGCAATCCCAGCACTGAGGAGGTGGAGGCAGGACAGTCAAATCTTCAAATCATTATCAGCTACAAAGTGAGCTGGGGGCCAGTCTGGACTACACAAGACTTTACACCGCCCATCGTGTGTATGTGTGTGTGTGTGTGTGTATTCCTTAATCATTCCAGACACATTTCAAGTGCCTGAGAATCAAGCTGTATTCACCCCAAGGAATACAATACATCTTCTTCACACAAAGTTCTCGGGAGCTGAGTGTAGTGGTGCACACCTTTATTCTCAGCATTTGGGAGGCAGATGTAGGCAGAAGTCTGAGTTTGAAGACAGCCTGGTCTATATAGTCATAGGCTAGCCAAGGCTGCATAGTGAGACCTTGTCTCAATAATAATAATAATAATAATAATAATAATAAAATATCTCTGGCAAGGTGGGGAGTGAGAACTTGGCCCCTTGGTGGTTGTTGTAATAATAATAATGATGATGATGATGATATTATGATTATTAGTCCTCAAAAGCCACAGAACACTTTACAAAGCCTGTGCCCCTCAGACACACCAGTGTGATGTTTCAGGCTGATTTTTCCAAAATCCCCTTGGAGAGGAAGGGAATTCACTGTAGAGGGCCACACAGCAGGTTCTTTTGACAATTTAAAGATGAGTAAACTAACACAAGTTTCTAGAGCACACACTAGCTGGACCTTGGAGTTCTTGTTTATGTAAAGGGAGAGGGGCGGGGCAGGGAGAACCCGCACGGTTTTGTTCTGATCTTAGGATGTGTGCAAACCCAGCACATTGATGGTCTCTGGGAATCTGGGCGATCAGAGGGCTTAGGAAATTCCTATAGTGTTGCGTTCACTAGCAGATGTTTGTCAGGTGCCTCCCTCGGACAAGATGTCCCATGAATAAGTCAGAAACACGCAACTGAACGGCTCCAGAGGGGATGGTGTACAAAGGAAACGAAAACTGGGTGTGGAAACTGTGAACCTGTTCCCTCTGGCAAGGTGGGGGAGCGGAGAACTTGGCCCTTTGGTGGTTGATGCAATCTTGCCCCTTGGCCAGCCTGGGTCAGATCATCTGTGGAACACACAGCACTGACCCCCAAAGCTCAGCTCTCAGGTAATGGGCTCTGGGCCTTGGATGACTTGGCTATACCTTGAAGGCGGTGAAAGGCAGGGAGGGGCTGGAGCTAAGCAGACCTCCCATCTCCAAATGTGAATGTCTTCTATAACAAATCTTCAGAATTTTCAAGAAAAGTCAGCATCGAAGAATTAAAAATCAAGGCTGGGTTGAGGGCATGATGACCGGTGCATGCACTGTAGCCCAACGTAAAGCCGGTCATCTGCCAATGGAGTTAAAAGAACCATCAGTCCCCAGAGGTGATGCTTCCCTAACCTCTTGGCTGTCCCCAAATTTCTTTAAAGCAATGGTTCTCTGTAGGGGGCGGTGTTGATGCTAAGGTCCTGTTCTCCAATTGGTTCTTGATCTGTCAGTAAAGAAAGCCATGGGCCAATTGTTGGGCAGAATATAGGTGGGACTTCCGGGTCCCAGGAGGAAAAGGAGATGCAAGGAATGAGAGAAGATTTTTTTTTGTTTTTGTTTTTTTTGTTTTTTTGTTTTTTGGGTTTTTTTGCCATGTTTTGGAGGGAGAAAAAGCCAGCTGCCATGTGAGGTCTCAGGAGGACCTGGGACCTGTGGCCACTACTACAGGCGGGTGGTTAGGGGTGTTTGGCGGGGGCTAGGTGGGACTAGCCACTGAAGTTTATGGCAGATGGGAGGAGCGGAGATAGGCAGCAGATAGTAACGTCCAGCAATTGTGTCCTAAGGCAAGTTGAAAAGGAACAAACTCTGTGTGTGTGTGTGTGTGTGTGTGTGTGTGTGTGTGTGTGTGTGTGTGTGTGTGTGTGTGTGTGTGTTTTCCCAAGGATTTAAGGGAAGCTGGGTGGAGGCTAGTAGCTTGGTCACTTTCCGGAGCTAAAGGCGGATAGCGAGCGTAAAACTACACACAACCGTTCTCAGTCTTCCTGACGCTGTGACCCTTTAATGCAATTCCTCATGTTGTGGTGACCCCCCAACCATTAAGTTTTCATTGCTACTTTATAACTTTAATTTTGCTACTGTTATGAGTCATAGTGTAAGTATCTGATATGCAGGATATCTGATACTGACCCTTGTGAAAGGGTCATTCTACCCCCAATGGGTCACAACCCACAGGCCAAGAACTGCAACTTTAAAGCAAACTACTTAAGATACACCTGTAATTCCAGCATTTAGGGCAAGAGCAGGAAGATCTCACATTTGAGGGCTGCTTGGGTTACATTGTGAATCCTAGGCCATCCATATTTCTGTAACAAGACCCTGTCTTAAAAACTACTACCAAATAAAACAACCCCTTCACTAAAGCTCTTTAATATCCAAAGGAAATTGTATCCTCATCCTAGATGGAAAACCAGCTTCATGTAGCCTAGATCCTGACTGTGGCTAAATTGATAGACTATTTGCTTGGTCTGTACAAAGCCCCAAGTTCGAATCCAGAACCAAAATAAACTGGGCATGATGGCACAGAACTAATTTCAATCTTTAGGAGGTAAGGTAGGCGGATCAGAGGTTCAAGTTTATTCTTGTCTACAGGTGATTTGAAAGCTAGCCTGGTGTGCTGGCTAGTCTTATGTTAACTTGACACACGAACTAAGGTTATCTGAAAGGAAGGAACCTCAACTGAGAAGATGCCTTCATAAAATCCAGCTGTAAGGCATTTTCTTATTTAGTGATCGATGGAGGAGGGCCCTGCCCACTGTGGGTAATTCATCCCTGGGCTGGTTCTGGGTCTTATAAGAAAGCCTAAACAAGGGAAAGCAAGCCAGTAACCAGCACCGTTCTGCAGCCTCTGCATCAGTTCCGGCCTTCAGGTTCTGGCCGTGCTTGAGTACCTGTCCTGATTTCCTTCAGTGATGAACAGTGATGTGGAAGTGTAAGCCAAATCAACCCTTTCCTCTCTAACTTGTTTTTTTGGTCATGGTGTTTTGTCATAACAATGGAAACCCTGACTAAGACACCTGGGCTACATGAGATCCTAGTTTAAAAATAAAAGAACACACACACATACACACACACGCACGCATGCACCAGACTTTAAGGTCTACCCTAGAGCTAGACCTTAAAGATAAATACAATAAAAATAAAAGCAATGAGGAACAATGCCTCACATGAGTGGATATGCCTCATGCTTTTTATACATAAAGAAATCAGACCTTGCCCTTGACAGTTCAAAGGAAGATCACATTACAAGTAATTAGACATAAACCAAAGAACTTTCCTAAAATCATCTTGGAGTTAAAATGGTGGCTGTCCCACTCTTATGGGAAGTGTAGGTCTTTGGGTGATTGAAGACTCAACCATTTCCTTGGGAGTAAGTAATCAGACTTCTGAGATGAGAGGTACCAGAGTCAAAGGAACCAGAAAAGGATGCCTCCCTCTGTTCCTCCCCCTCTTCCTTTTCCTCCTTCCCTCGCTCCCTGGCACAGTGTAACTGAATAGAGTCTCTGCCAACACTCCAATCGTGTGGCCCCCTCTGTGACAATTCTGGCAGTAATGTTTCTGTCTTTCAGTCTATGGTGCAGGCTACAGGAAAAGCCAATAAATCACCATCATCACCATCGCTGTCACCACAACCATTGGCAACACTCCACAGTTTAGACCTGTCACCTATCTCCTGCTCATTACATTTCTTCCCCAAGGCCACATGTGCTTTGAGAAAGAACTCAAGGTCTTCTCAGTGCTGTTAGGCTGTACCAGATGTGTAGTGTCTGCTACAGTTCCTGCTGTAGGACTCTAAGTGTTAAATATGTCCAAAGTGAAAGGAGAATAGGAGTACTCAAAAGGTCCTGGGCAGGACTGGAAATGTACCATCCAGCCAGCTGTGGGTGGAAAGTCTCCTCTCTTCTACTTAATGGTCAATGGGTATTTGACCTCTGATCTGCCTTTCTCTACTTGGATAGGTGTTTCTATGCATAGCTGGATTCGGCTAGCCTTTACAACCTGATTTCCAGCTGCGCTCCCAGATCCAGCGGGACCCAGCCAGTCACAAGCCCAGAGACAGCGAGGAGAGAGTGTCCCCTGGTGGTGCTAGAGAGAAGGATTCCTAGGGATGTAGAATTTATTTAAAGCCATAGGGTGGTCTGGCCCCTCATTTTCCTTATGTGGAATATGAATTTCAGAGAAGCAAAACCCCTCAAGTAGGATCACTAGATAAAACACAAGACTCCTAGCTTGATTCAATTTTCCAATGAACAACAAATACTTAAGAACAAGAACAAGTGTAACTACCTCTCATATGCAAGGATGTCTACTAAAAAATGGCTTGTTGGGTCCTGAGGTTCACATTAAACTGTGTGTTTCTGTGGTAAGTGTAGCAACACTCTAAGCTCAGCCGCTGAATTCATATCTGAGCTGGCTCTGCAACCCAGACTTGACCAGCGCCTGCTTTCTCCCCGTCACTCTGACACAGTTGCCCGCTGTCTTAAGACAGGCTCATACAGCTCAGGTGGGCTGCCATCCTCCTGTAGTCTCGGGTGTCCTTGATCTCCGGATCCTCCAGCTTCTACATTCCGATACTGGCTGCATCTAGTGTCTCTTGCTTTCAGCTCTGCTCGGTCTTCAGCAGGGATACAGGAAATGTTGGTGTCTTCTGGCAGAGAATGGTTGGAGGACCTGA